AAGACTCGACTTTTGATTCCTGATGTCAGTTGGACACAACCCTTTTTCCAACAGTAGACAAAGAGCCAGGACTGGAATTTCACACCTACCACGACCTGCATAATGCATGCTGTTCTTTGAGCCATAATATCAGAAGCTCAGCGATGCAAATGGTTTTCCTACAGTGCCACACAGCAGACTGGCGGGATGCAAATATCTACACTTAGTGATGGAAGCTGCCAACCTTTTTACTTAAGGGACCCCTTTTTTAAAAAGTGAACTCAAACAGTGAACTCTGCAGGAAGTTTGTGTAAAACTAGTGATTTGGATGAATTTTATGTGTTATTATTCTAACGATCATACAGACTTAATAGGCTTCTTTTTGACAAATACAGTGTTTTCTTGACACCATTGTTCTATTAGACAAAAGCCTTGGAAGGCTGAGCTGTAGTCAAACGGTTGCAATCTGCAACTTCACCACTAGATGCCACTGAATCCCTCACACTGGTGCTTTAGCTGTTGTACTTTAATGCTTTCCACCACCATTTCTCAGAATAAATAAATGAAAACACACACATGCGATCCACAGGGAGGCCCTTGTAGTCACCAGATTGAAAATGTTTTTCACAGCGGTAGACTCAGGCTATCTGTTAAGGCCTTGGACTGTTACACAACACGTCATAGACTGCCAGCTATTGTTCCAGCAGACAGGCCGCTCTCACATGGCCCCCCGCTCGTGGCAGCACTGTCTGTCTCGTAGACTCCGTTATTTGAATGTCAAACAGGACATTTTGTTTCTGCCGAGTTCACCGCAGCTCTCTCGCTCCGAACTTCTGTTGTTCTCTGTGTATTAATAGACCTCGGAGGGCCAAAGACATTTCTTACATGTTGCCTTCAGGAGAGCTCTCCCTGTTTTTGTGCCACTGAGTCATGTCCAGTGGAACTTATAGACTTTCACCAGCAGCTTTTAAAAGAAAAGGCAGTTCTCTCGCTATATGTGGATAACAACTGCCTTGGTGTGAAGCCTGTGATTGCCTCCTTGTGCTTGTTTTCCTGTAACCAGCACGTCTGACAAACTAATGACCTTTCTATGTTTCTGCTTCCTAGAGGAAGAACCCCTTCGGTTTCTCTCAGGTGTATAATGAGTGTGTCTCCTGATCCCTCCCCTCACTCACACTCAAAATTTGCCTCGTGCTCCCAAGAGGAAACTCACCTGTAGCTTCCGCCACTGCAGAGTCATGCTCTCCATTTTCTTTCCTCTCCTGTACACACACGCACACACAAGGGCACAATTTTGACAGTCACATCCAGCTAACCTTGCACACCCACACACACGCACACAGGGCTGAATTTGGGATTCAGCAGGCGGATATTGCTTTACAGCTGTGATTAGCTGGGTGCGTGAAGAAAGAGGAAGCTGGCAGCCTGCTGATTCGTGCAGCTATTAACCGGCATCGGGGAGCGCTCGCCTATCTGCGAATACGTCAATTACAAAAATACGATTACAGCCTTGGAGGAGGGGGAGGATTTGTGTTATCCCCAGCTTTCCCCTTCTCCCGCTCTCTTTTCACAAACACACACGTACGCTTTCTCTTTATATGTTGTCTCTCATTCAAAATGTAGTTATTAAATAGGATTTACAAAGGAAACAAAAAATACAATAAACATTTAACCAGAGGTGGTGGAGAGGGATAGACGGAGAGAGAGAGTGACGGGTAAGACAAAGTGCACAAGAGCGAGTTAGGGGTGAAAAATGTGGGGGAATAGATGGATGGAAGGAGGGAGGAGGAGGTTGGACAAATAAAGGAAGGTGGAGGGTAAGGGCAGCGACACAGCACCACGCCAAGCATGAAGCCGCAGTAAGAGAGCGAGTGCAGTGGTGCAGACACACCAGGAGCACTGGCTTTAAACCCCACACCGCCAATCCCTGCCAGGTTCACACAGGTTATTCAGTTTGTGAGTAATCAATAACAGATCCAGGGACAGATTTCCTGAAGCTTTTGTGCCTGTTATGATGTGCTGTATTTATTGAAGAGACGCTGCAGGCTGATAATGTGGAGACATGTCATTATGTATTCCGCTGAGGTCACGCTGTCTGCGACTGTCGGGTTTGTGGCTAAAATTCTCTGAAAAGTAAAAATGGTGCAACTTCGACTCTCAACTGCCGAAGGTTGTAACTGGATATACAGCAGCAGTGATAAAAAGAAGCATTGTATATGACAAAATAAATAAGGCAAAAAGGCTATTATTAAATATAGTTATCTGATAACTGTAAATAAATAGAGGACCCTTTACATGTAGTGTACAGCTCTTCGAGTGAGACCAGAAAGCAACTATACATGTACACAGTCCTATTTATATTTGCACAGATGGAAGTGAAACATGAATTCAAATTATTATTACCGTAGTTATGGACTTTCTAGTCTTCCAACCACTCTAACTCACCCATTCACACACATTGACGCACCGATGCTCAATTTGGGGTTCAGTATCTTGCTCAAGGTTACGTCGACATGCAGTGGGAGGAGCCAGGGATCGAACCGCCAACCTTATGATTAGTGGACGACCCGCTCTGCTTCCTGAGC